GCACACATCAAGCAAATAACTGCTGCAGCATATGGGTGCCTGGCAAACCTGAGAATAGCGTTCCGATACCTTAATAAGGAATCGTTCAAGACACTGTACACTGTGTATGTTAGGCCCATACTGGAGTATGCAGCACCAGTCTGGAACCCACACCTGGTCAAGCACGTCAAGAAGTTAGAGAAAGTACAAAGGTTTGCAGCAAGGCTAGTTCCAGAGCTCAGGGGAATGTACGAGGAAAGGTTCAGGGAAATGGGACTGACGACACTGGAGGACAGAAGGGCCAGGGGAGACATGATAACGACATACAAGATACTGCGGGGCATAGACAAGGTGGACAGAGATAGGATGTTCCAGAGAGGGGACACAGAAACAAGGGGTCACAACTGGAAGCTGAAGACTCAGCGGAGTCACAGAGACGTTAGGAAGTATTTCTTCAGTCATAGAGTCGTCAGGAAGTGGAATAGCCTAGCAAGTGAAGTAGTGGAGGCAGGAACCATACATAGTTTTAAGAAGAGGTATGACAAAGCTCAGGAAGCAGAGAGGGAGAGGACCTAGTAGCGATCAGTGAAGAGGCGGGACCAGGAGCTGAGTCTCGACCCCTGCAACCACAATTAGGTGAATTAGGTGAGATACACACACACACAGGCCTTTGACACAGTTCCTCACAAGAGATTAGTGCAGAAGCTAGAGCACCAGGCGCATATAACAGGAAGGGCCATGCAATGGATCAGGAATACCTGCAGGGGGGGCAACAACGAGCATGGTACGTTTAATGATGTATACAGTGGGCCCCTTTTGACGAGGGGGCCCCACAGGGGGTCGGCCCTGGACCAGGCTATTTTTGGGTATATGTAAAACGACATGAGGGAAAGGGTTAGACCAGAAGTGTCCCGTTTGCAGATGATGTGAAGTTAATGGGAGAATTTTTAAACTGATGAGGACCAGGGAGGATTCAAGGGGACCTGGCGACTGACACCTGGTCCAGCAAAAAGGCTTTCGAATTTAATCCTGCCAAATGCAAAGTCATGAAAATTGGGGGAGGGGCCAAAGACCCAGAGAGTTAGGCTAGGTGGCCAAAAAACTGCAAAACCCCCCCAAGGAGAAAGACTTGGGGGTGAGTTAACACCAGCATGTCTCCGGAAGCACAATCAATCGATAAATACTGCACTATGGGGCGCCTGGGGAAAACCCGAGAAACAGCTTCCGAAAACCCTTGTAAGGAAAATTCAAGGGCATGTACCCGGTTTTAGGCCCATATGGGGTATGCAGCACCTGTTTTGGAACCCCCCACTTAAAAGCACGCAAGAAACTAGAGAAAGTACAAAAGGTTTGCGACAAGGTTAGTTCCAAGGTAAGGGGGAAAGTCCTATGAGGAAAGATTAAGGGAAATTGGCCTGACCCACTGGAGGACAGGAGGGGGAGGGGAGCATGAAACGCATATAAAATTTGGTGGAAAGACAAGGTGGACAAAAACAGGAGTTCCAGGGAGGGGACACAGAAAAAAGGGCCCCCAAAATTTGGAAATTGAAGACACAAAAGAGTCAGGAGATATAGAAGTATTTCTTCAGTCATAATTGAAAGGGGTGGAATAGCCTAGAAAATCGTAGTGGAGGCAGGAACCTTCACAGTTTTAAGACAGGTTTGATAAAGCTCATGGGGGGGGAGAGGGCCCAGTAGCAAGGGTGAAAAAGGCGGGGGGCCCGGAGTAGGACTGACCCTGCAACCACAAAAAGGTGAGTACCCCAAAAACCCCCCACACCACAACACAACACACCACCAAAGACAAGGGGGAACAGAGACAGGATTTCATGAGGGGACACAGAAACAAGGGGTCACAATTGGGGAAACCGAAGCTCAACGAGTCACAGGATGTTAGGAAATATTTCTTCATCACAGAGTCGTCAGGAAGTGGGAAAAAGCCCAGCAAGTGAAGTATGGAGGCAGGAACCTACTAGGTTTTTAAAACGAGGTATGAAAAAGTCCGAAAGCAGAGAGAAGAGAAGAAGAGAGAGAGAGCGATCAGGAAAGAGGCGGGGGCCCGGAGTGAGTTCCCCACCCCCCGCAACCACAATTGGTGAGATGACCACACACACACACACACACACACACAACCAAAAACACACCACCACACACACACACACACAACACACCACAACACACACACACCACACCCATGAATAGCAGGGAAAATACGCAAAGGGGTCAGAGATACCTGAGAGGAAGGGAACAAAAGGGTGTTTGGTAAGGCGAGGTGCAAAGTTGGGATTGGTCGAGTATGGTTCCACAAGGGGTCAGTCCTGGGTCCCTCTGTATCTATTGTGTGATTGACTGACAGAAGGGATTATTCGAGGGGTCCCTGTTTTGCAGAAAGAATTAAAACTAATGAGGGGAACAAATTGGGGGTAAAGGGGGTTTTTAAAGGAATTTGGCGGCTGCAAGCCCGATCCACAATGGGCTCCGGGGTCTAACCCCCTCAAATCAAATCATGAGGCTTGGGGGAAAGGGCAAAAAAAACAGCGGGGGAGGACAGCCCCCCAGGGGGTCCCAAAACTCCCATTCACTCAAGAAAAGGTTTTTTTGGGGGGAGCATCAATCCGGAATTTTCCTGGGCGCACTTAACCAATTTAAATGCTGCAACTTATGGGGGCCCGGGAATCCGGAACAACGTTTCGCATTTAAATGAGGGTCATTCAAACTCTGTACACTGTGTAAAGCAGGCCTATTGTGAAATATACAGCACCAAAATGGAACCCCCAAACCCGGCAAGACGTCAAGAAATTTTGGAAAATGCGAAAATTTGCAAGAAGATTCCCGGACTAAGGGGTATGCCTCGACGAGTGGTTAAGGGAATTCAGCTTGACGACACTGGAAAGACAGGAGGGATAGGGATGACATGATAACGAGAGGATTTGACAAGGTGGATAGGGATAGAATGTTTCAGAGGTGTGACACAGTAACAATGGGTCACAACTGGAAGTTTAAAACTCAGATGAGTCACAGGGATGTTAGAAAGTGTTTCTTTTATCATAGAGGTGTTAGGAAGTGGAACAATCTGGAGAGTGATGTAGTAGAAGCGGATCCATATAAAAGCTTTAAGAAGAGGTCGATTAGGGTCATGGAGAAGAGAGAGTGGACCCAGTAGCACCAGCGAAGAGGCAGGGCCAGGAGCTATGATTTGACCCCTGCAACCACAACTAGGTGAGTACACACACACATTATGTGTATTCAGTGTGATGCTCATACACGCGACTACAATATTACGAGTCAAATATTAGTGTGTATATAACTCGAGGCTGGATGTCGTGTATCACGGACAATAAGTGAAGGTCAGTGCGAGGTGTTAGTGTTATACTGTGTCCAAGGTCTTCCCTCGTCACCGAATTACAGAGAAGTCAGAGATAATACAGGTAATACTTCACCACTGCTTCTCTCTCCCTCACTGCCACACACAAGAAAGGCTAGCTAAGTGAAATATTTCCTTCCTCTTATAAATGTGTCTTATTCACTGAAGAGAACGTAAGTATTGTGATAAGATAAATACATATGGATTAAATATTCGCTGTAGGCTGTTATACAGGGCGACATATTGGGTAAATAACTGACGATGCACAGCCCGTCCATGTCACACTACTCTGAGGGTTAACTGACTCTCTTCATGACTCACGAAAGCACGCCAGGGCGCACTAGAGTCTGTGACGTCATGGCTAGCGAGAAAGACTGAGTATAAATGGTATTTGAATTTCTACATAGATACCAAACAAGTATCACTGCTGACAGCTCAAAGACGCTAACATACGGCATCCCCAAGTTACAGCTTAACTAATACAAAGATAGACTGCAGGCATTTCGAGCTCTGGGCTGATTCTATATAATTTGGGAAACGCTGTACATAACATATGACATTTGAATGTAATCCAAATTACAAATCATGATAGATCATGGAAGATGGAAAAAAAC